AGCCAGCCCGCATAGCTCAATCGGTTAGAGCGCGAGACTTGTAATCTCGACATTGTGGGTTCGATTCCCGGGCTGGCCAACTAAAATTACTAATCAGTCTTTCGGATGAGACTTTAAATCGAGGTCCCGTGTATGGGTGCTTAAACACTTGGCACGCTAAAGAACCAAGAGAAGCTTCTGGAATTGGGGCATCTTTCTGTATCTGTAATTGCACTATCCTCCAAAAATCTAAAATGACTAATACTTTTCTGGAGGACTCGCCCATATGGGCAACCGGTGGCGAGTATAAATAAACGCAAATACACACACACACACAAATTATGTCATTGAATTGTTTTATGTTGTTATGTATGGATGAGACTCAACTAAAGAATATATATATATAGTAATCCCGGGAACTCATTATCGATTATCTCATGCATTTCGTCAATGATATGCTTGTGATATGCTTGTTGACAATTTTAATGATGTTTTTATTGTTGATGGCTATGATATATTTTTGTATTTGAATGATTTTCGGTACTGTACAGTATACATGTTTCTTGGTTGGTTATTTCATATGTTTAATAATGAAAACGTTTAATTAATAACAGCCGTACTACAAATACTACAATTTGCACGGAAATAAAGTTTAGATTATTATTATTAAATTATTATTATTATTATTATTATTATTATTATTATTATTATTATTATTATTATTATTATTATCATTATTATTTTATTATTATTATTATTATTATTATTATTATTATTATTATTATTATTATTATTATTATTATTATATTATTATTATTATTTGAATGTTTTTGTAGAGCTTTTTGAATAAGTTTGATTTGTATGTAGTTTATGAAAAAAAAAATCTGCTAACGTATTTTTTCACACATGAGAGAGTTAATTGACCTCAGAATGTCACACACCTAAAATCTTATTTTGGAAGTACATGTACTGGCAGTGGAAGTCGCTGTGTATTGGTTATCAAGACTGCGGGGCCCCTTATTGAACACGTGACTGTTGGTGTGTCCATCATAAACATCATGATAAAAGTTTAATATACATGTATACATATATTCTTAAATGTATGTACCAAACTTTTATCATAATATGATAATATGTAATAAGAAAAAGTAAATATAAGTTGTCAATCAATTCATTTATTGATATATACATGTATTTTCATAAATCATTAATGCAGGTGTCATTGGTAAATTATCGATTAGATAATTAACCCCTGCATTTTTTTTACAGATGTGTAATGTTATGTCAGTGTTCTTAAAGAAATTATGAAGTAGACTTGTGTATCTTTTTTCTGACGGAGTTGGTTTTGATGGTTTCGAGATATTGACACAAATGACACGTGCCCTTTTATAATATTAGAGTAGAGACACCTGTCTGGTGAACCAAAGTGTGATTGCTACGTAAAGTAAGATTAAGCCGGGTTTTTTTTATTTTATTTAAATACATTTTGTTTGATTCGTCACGGAAAAAGATGACCTTTTATATAAATCTTTTGATTTTCCTACTTAGATATAAATCTTTTAATTTTTTAGTGATTTCCACTTGTCAAACAGAATCAGACTTGTAATGTTCAAATCATTTTACTCCTATCAATAAATTAGTATATTGTACCTTTAAAAAATCACAACAAACGAATTATCATTTTCTCTATTAAATCATTACGATACTTGTACAATATTTTTAGAATATCTTTGATCTACCATATCACATTTAGAAAAGCCGGGATTGTATAAGATATATAGAGATCCCGGGATTTGACCACTGCCGTGTCATATTCAGAAAAGCCGGGATCGTATTTAACAAAGAGAGATACCGGGATTTGACCGTCTGCCATATCACGTTTAGAAAACCCGGGATTGTATTAGATATATAGAGATCCCGGGATTTATCCACTGCCATGTCACATTCAGAAAAGCCGGGATCGTATTTAACAATTAAAGAGAAATACCGGGAATTGACCGTCTGCCAAATTACATTCAGAAAAGCCGGGATCGTATTAGATATATAGAGATCCAAGCTGGATCACATTTATAAAAGCCGGGATCGTTTAAGCATGCAGTGCCTATCATCACCATCATCATCGTCGTCATCACCATTATCGTCATCACTAATAAATCAAGTTATTATAATATAGGGGAAATTATTATTGAGTGGCATGCGGCATAGTTTAAATATAATATATAATAATGGTATATTAACGAAGGTCAATACAATTAAGTTGGCAATCAATTAATTCTATGATAATATACATATGTATCATAATCATATATCAGTAAAGTAGAAGTAGCTAGTTCATTTTGAACAAACACAAAACAGAACAGAACTTTTATTTCGGATTTATACATAGTACATCATCACATACATAATAATATTCAAGTAACATTTACTTTCAGTGCAATCAATGTGAAGAAATCATGATATAGATAATATAAAGAAATCAATAATTGTAATGAAACTTACGTTGACTGTTATTAAGCCTCAGTTAAGTGAGGAGGAAGAAAATCAATATCAAAACTTTAAAATAAAAAATTTTGATCTATCATTGAATATTATTTAATAGTGATGTTCTAACAGTCATTTTTGTAATAAAATGCTAATTTACATAGTTCATTTCTATAATTACTTTGCACCAATGCAATAAATTTGTACATACTTAATAATATCTTTTAATATAAAGGTTACGAATATTTGTATAACATGGGCATATAAGATCAAAATGAAATTCGTCTTCTAAGTCTCTTAAAGCAGCACACCTCCAGATTCATGCTTATTTTCATAAAAATTTTGAAAATGTTTTTGAATGTTTTATATTGTGAAATAACCAAAAGGAAGCCATTTATACATATCATTGGCACTTACAAGCCATGTAAATTACCAAAAAGTGGTCAAAATATGCATAAATAGACCATACTGCGTTAGAAACGCAGTAGAAATATAGTTGTACATTAAAAAAATCAGTCATTAACTGCACATAACATGTAAATTATTACTTGAATCTTGAACCATTTTATGTTTCCTAAAGTCGTAGTACATATTTCTCAAGTTTGATTTTATCGAAATATTTTGACTCATCTAAAGGCATGCAGCTTTAAAGAACAACATTGGCAGTAGCGTTCATTTCTATTGTATTGTATGTATTCTGTTTCTAGCATATCTGCCAGTTTGTATTCTTATGTTGTGTGCCGAAGTTCACAAATCGTCTCAAATGTTCAGGCAATATATCTAAATAACTTTCGTTACAAAACTTCACATATACAGACATGTAAATAAACACATGTTTCAGTATGATAATTCATTTTAAAGCTGCATGCCTCCAGATAAACCAAAATATATAAAGAAAACCAAACTCGCGAAAAAATGTACCAATATTTTAAGAAAAGTAAAATAAAAGATAGAAGTTTCAGGTAATAATTTACATGATATACGCGATTTATGCCTGATTTATGACACAAATTAACAAGGAAGAACATGTACCGTGGTAATAGTAAAACATAAAAGTATTATACAAGTAAAATAACTTTGCTTAGTACATACAGTTTCACAATTTTAATTAAAAATGCACGTGGTTGATTAATTTCTAAATAGATATTATATATACGTAAAATGACTCAAAGAGATTTTGAAAATGTGATGAAGAGTAATATGTAAATTAATATAATCTTTACTGTCACAGAAATTATTTCATTAATACAAAGATTTGTATCTGTAAGCGACGCTGGGCCAATCAACAGAGTGCATATGTTGTAATTACAATTAAGCGACACAGAGCCGTGATATCATAAATCAACAGGGTGCATAACATTACATCAGATGTCACTAGTGACAGTTATTTAATTATGATCCGACTTTAGCTAAATGATCATCCTAGGAGCTTTTTGACATTGGCCATGTCTCACTGATTTGGTCCAAAAGAATGAGTTACAGAAATGAGTATTTTTCATTTATTAACGAAATTTCTGTGTACGTGTGTCACCTTGTTTATAAATACGCTAAATGAAGAAAAATATTATCTTTACATTATCTAATAAGCAGAATATGAAAAATATAAAAATATTAAGTTGAAAATATCACAATATAATTCATATATTGTACCTTTCCTAAAATATCATTCAGTGCATTAAACTGGCGTGATGTATAATTTTATGATAATGCCGTTTTATCTTTTCTCAATTAATTCGCTTTGTGACACAATATTTTGATGTTGCAAGACTCAAACTTGTTTTTATTGGCAAAAGCATTTTACAGTGTCAAGTTATCTGGTCTTTCTTTTAAAATTGCCTTTTAAGGACCGTGTTTCACACTGTGTTTACGGATATCGTGTGTAAAGATAAGATATCTTATAGTATATATTTTTCCAATTATACTATAATTACAAGTATTGTGATTTCCGCATTTTAAGTTTGTTAATAAATAACTCGAAATATATTTAAATCTTAAGTTAAATTCATGTACTGTTCATTACATACAATTAAAGAAATAAATAGTAAACATTTAATCGCCTCTCATTACGACAATAATCAACACAAATATAGTTTATGAGTTTTTCCTATATATCTAATACGATCCCGGATCCCGGGCGTCCCGGATCCCGGGATTTTCCCTCCTTTGAACAGTTTATTGAAGTTTATAAAATGGCGACGGATGGTTCAGATGAGATATTTGACTTTAAATGTACCGCTTGTGCTAAAAGAAATAGGCAAAGAGAAGCTGTAAAATACTGTGTTGAATGTCAAGGATATTGTTGCCAAGGTTGTCTCGAGGTTCATCAGGATTTTCCTACTCTAGCTAACCATAATTTGTTGGATAAAGCAAACTTTAAATCAGTGGGTTCAACAAATGAATTACCAGCTATACCGACGGAAAGATGTGCTGTACACGAGACGAAGATTATAGATATGTACTGTCAGAACCACGACGACGTCGGCTGTACAACATGTATGACAATGGAACATAGGTATGGTTTAATATTGATATGTGCAATTACAGAACAATTCATTCACCAAAAGTATTCCTTAGCAGGTCTATTATTTCCTTACATCTATGTATAACACACAAATCTCTGTATCATATATAAATTTATGTATACACGGATACACAAATTTATGTATAAACCGAATGCATCATTGAACATCGCTGATTTCCTGATATGAAATTAACTATCGCAGTATGGCTGACCCAGTCAACATGTCAGAAGAGGTAATTACACAATATTTTAATGAAAATTAAAGTTGGCATTATTGCAATGATTGATACTTGATGTAATTAAACCGTAAATAAGTAAAACATACGAAAATGCAACATATTTACGTTGTTTATTGTAAAATGTTCTAAATTCTATACCAAATTTCACCTCGCGTCTTCTTTGTCCGTAGCTTAAGGTCTTCAGCGTACCCGTTTATATACTATGACATGACGTGAACGCTGAAGATAACCCCATAGGGAAAGTCCACCAATAATCGTGCCAGGAATCTGACACGCTCGTATTTATTCATCGAACATGCAATGAAGTAAAGTGAAGCATACCTTGATAAAACTATATATAATCTGTTGATAAGCCGAGGATGGACAAATAAAAATCTTATTACGAACATAAACTACCTAATAGTTTCCGACAGGTAAAATTTTCGGCACTTGGCCGCCATATTGCAAAAATGTTTGATCACGTGATTACGAGATTGACCTTTACGAACCCATGTGCCTCCAATATTTTTAAAAATTATTTTTTTTAAAGATATTGAAAAAGGTGATTTACTGACTTTTATATTCAATACAATCGTATTTAAGTACTAAAAAATTAATGAAAATAAATAAAAACATTATCTTGAATAAAAGTATCGAAATCATGTCAACAAAATGTTCTAAATATAGTACACGACTCTATTCAAATCTGTTCCCGCGAATGACGTCATACGAGATCTCGCGTGGCACCATAATGTCATGGCCAACTGTAGACGGCGTAAATTGATATTTTACAGTTAAATAGGCAATTTTAATGACGGTATTAACATTTTGATACTTTAATTGGTATAGAATGATATTAAAATGATTGTTTTATCGTAAAATGCACAAAAATTGATTGGGTCAAGTGTATTTGCAAGTGAAAAACAAGAATAAATCAACTTATGTTATTCTGGTTAGGTTTCGTAACGGGTCTAATCCAAAACTTTAATGCCGCATCAGATGAAAAACAAAAATGTTAAAAAGCGGCTTATAAAGTTTTGGAAGCCAGAACTACTTTGTCCGCCATTTTGATCTGGTTCCCGGCGCTTGTAACCGTTAATTCTTCGTCCTCTTCCGAAAACTCAGCATCAGCTGCAATTAAGCATTAAAAGTATGGTGCATGATATGCGATATAATTTTAAATGATTCGTACTCAATTAATTTCGTTTCATTTTCAAAAATAATATATAAAAAAATTAAACCATTATAACAGTGACAGAAAATATAATTTATGCTTCTTTTGTATGAAATGAATTGAATACTATAACGTGGCAATAATTAGTACCATGTTAATATTGTAGACTAATTACACAGGGAAACGGCAGAAGATGGCCACTGGTGCAGATGTTACCAATGCACAGAAAATCCGCCACCGTGGAAAGTTTAATACCACGGAGTATATTAAAGGCTCAAAAAAAAGGGCTAATGCTTTCTGCCAAAGGAAACATACCCCTTTTAATAATGTACGTAATGCAACTATAAAGTATAAAAAATAATAAAAGACACACTATCAAAGTCAATAAAAATTATATAATGGAAGTCCTTAAATATTCCTTGAACTATTTAAATAAATCTTTGATAAAAAATCTGGAAATATTGCTTTAAAATTTCAACAAATATTGTTGATGAATAAATAAATAAATAATAAATTAATAATTGTATAATAACATGCATTTTATCACAGGCAAGAGTGTTTGCAAATCTCACAAAGGCGAAGGTGATGGTCAGTGTGCAGCACGAAGATGGTCGAAAACCGGAAGTGTACAGGTCTTTCAAGAAAGTTAATGTATGCATGCATTTAAAAAAATTTAAATTTCCATATAAGAAAGCAATTACTTTTTTCCTTAATGTTAAAATGTCATTGATGTAAATATTTTCGATATTATCCTGTTCCACATTTCAATAAGCGGAACCAGAAGTGAAATGCAATTGTTAGTTGTTTTGAATCAGTTACACATTTAATTAGTCTTATCTTTAAATAAGTATTCCTATATGTAACTATTTGAAAATTTCGTTACATCTAACTTTCTTTCTTAGAGTCTAAGCGCGGCGGGTGAAACGTCACAGGAATTTCACAATGACATTACCCCACTGTCACCATCGTTTGCTCAGGAGAAAGAGAACGAAAGTCATGATGCGGAGGAGAACGTAACTGTAGACGAGAAAAACTGCAGGATATATGTAAGCAGGCAGAAGTGAAGAGGAAAAGTTTGTGGGTGGGATGTGAATTTCGGGATTCAAGGGATGAAAGTGAATGCAATTACTGGGTACATGTAGAGTGTTTAGGATTCTGTGGAATTAACGATAGAGTGTTAAAAAAAAATTAATTGGTTTTGTCCCAGTCATATGAAAAAATAAAAGTAATGGAAACTTACAACTGTTCTGAATGCTTTGTATTTCCTCCAAAACCTGCAAACACTCTTTGTAAAAGTCTAAATACGCAGCTTTCTTTCCCGATTTAATGTCTTTTACCCAGGTAGCATTTACAGCATGAGATTGCAATTCAAAACCTTCCTGTAAATATTAATATTTCAAAAATGGTCTGTATATGGATTTTCCTATGTTTAACATGTATAAGCTTTTTGTATTGTTACTATCATTTGTGTACTTTTGACGTAAATATTTAATAAATGAAAGCTTTGTCTGTGTACCTATAAAAGTATAGGAATAGCATCTTATATTAGAGCTGTCATCGATAGAAGCGATATCGATGTATCATTGATATTTTTTTGTCGATCGATTATCGATTCAAATTTTAGAAAATCGATACTTTTACTAATTACTAAAAGCCTAGAAATTACTAAAATATATAGCCCATACAGTACATTAAAAATAGTTTGTTTAAAGTACCTGTGGAAAAGACGAAAATTAACTCAAAACATAAACGGAAACAGGTGCCCTGTCAAAAGGACATGTCTAAAACTATACTGTGACTACTAAATGGACAGCTACTGTATGGTAGCTGTATTTTCACCTCAGAAAAAACATATTTCTCTGTGTTGAAAATTATATATACAAAACAATCCAATTTTAAAAGAATAATTTGAAAATAAAAATCCAATAGATCTTAATCAATTATCATTATACTTAAACTGTCTTGATTTGAGATTCATCATTCAGAATTGTCTATATTTTAGACTATGCCCATATCTTAGCAACACTTTAAAATGGCTGAAACATTAAAATTGTTGGGACAAAAAGAAGGCTAAAATTTCAAAGCCAATTCCCATTTAGGAACATTTTGGGTTTGTTGATGAAAAGGGGGTTGTTAACTCAAAATTAATCCCAAGTTAGATTCAATGTATGACTGCCATTTAGTGGCAATTCATTTAACTTGAGATCACATCTTCATCGTAAACAATGATTGGGGCAAGGTTAAACACCAGTCAAGTGCCAGCACCGATTGTAAAAACAATATAATCAGTAGGCTATTACTAAACAATAAAATAATTTGTAAAATTCCTAACATTTACAAAATAAATAAATAAATATGTATGTAAATAAAATAAGCATAACAATAGTTTGACAAATCCTTATTCAGTATGAACAGTCAAATTACAAAAATGTCATAATAAGTCAATAAAATTGTATTTCAATATGATAAATTCCTAATAAATTATAGTTATTTCCAGAAATGTATATTTTCAAAATCAAATTCCTTTGCATCCTTATTATCAACTGTGTTTTTGTATCCGCTGTGTTCAAGTATCAATACTTTATGACTACAGTCACTATTATTTAACACCTACATACAAAACTCATGCACAAATTTGAATTTTTTTATGTAACATTTATGTTTTTCTACTCTAGTCATGTTAACTACACGGGGGAGGAAGTGTTACACGAAGGATGGAGTTCTTATGATAACTTGTTCAGGAGTTCTTGTGATAACTGTCACGGAGTTCCTCGGAAAACATCTGTATATACTACAAAAACACTCGTTAAAAATGGTTATTTTCATCGTTCAAAAAATGAGTTTAGGTGCTAAATTAAACTTTAATGATTAAGCTTGTCTTACATCTTGTATTATGTGTCAAAAACTAATTCACATGCCATTTTTAATCGCCTCTTGCTTCAAATCTGGTAGTTTTGAGTAAAATTTCCAAATTATTTGTCAATTCACAAGTATTGACCTGTTTATTTCTGGTCTTCATCCTTGCCACACATAATAACCTAATTATAATGCAAAATTGCAAACATAAAGCACCTGCTAACAGATTTATACTCGATTTTTCAAATGTCCCGGAGTTCTTGTGATAACTCTGAGGATGTCACAGAGTTCTTATGATAACTATTGTTATTGCCATTGTGTTTCTTGCGCTAAATCACGGCACGTTTTAGCGTTTTTTATTATTCAATGAGATTGTAAATCATTATGAAATGTAGTGCGCTCATCCTTTGCGCAAAAAAATGATATATAATGTTGGTTTTGAGTGAATTTTAGTTCAAGAGATATTATGTCTTACCCCCCGTTTCTTTTTCATAGTATATTTTTTTGTTTGAGACCGGAAAAAAAGATTCATGTACTGGTTTCCTGGCAGTTTCCGGCCCCTAGCAGTTTCCGGCCCCTCTGGCCCTTTATCATTTTCATGCAGACATACAGTCTATTTTTTCTCAGTTAAGCATCTATGTTACTGCATCAATCAGAGAAACATTTGTTTTCTATGTAAAACAGCAGTTATAATAGTACTGCGATTAATATGTTTCAAAGTTTTGTCAGTTGTTTAAAGTTACATTAGAGAACTTGCAACACTTACAAGCAACACTTGGGGGATTCTAGTTTGAATGCCCATGCACTATAACTGAAATCCCATTCTAGGTAAATCTGGAACCTGGAGGGACAGTTCAAATTTTTTCGAGAGTTTGGTAGTTAGAGCCAACCGCTGTTGAGTTTTTATCATGTATCGTACTTTTTTAAGACATAGGTGTGGAAATTATCCTGGTTATATACTTATTTATTATGGTATAAAATGATACATATTACTTAGCCCTTAGGTAAGGGAAATGTGCCTATATATTGTCTGCTTAAGAAAGGTGGTTGCTTAAAACATGTGAAACTGAGAACAACGTGTACTTTTTGAGACATCTTTGTTTTGTGATTTAAGCCATTATACTGCTGAATATCAGTGGCCGCTAGTTCAATTTTTACTGTTGATGATAGCCTATCACCTATTTATCCTTTGCAGACACTAAAGACCAACGTTTTGCCCACATTTTTGTGCAAAGGATGATCGTTCTGCATTTCATAATGATTTACAATCTTATTGAATGATAATAAAAGCCAAAACGTGCCGTGATTTAGCGCAAGAAACACACTGGCAATAGCAAAAGTTATCATAAGAACTCTGTGACATCTTCAGAGTTATCACAAGAACTCCGGGACATTTAAAAGATCGAGTATAAATCTGTTAGCAGGTGCTTTATGTTTGCAATTTTGCATAATATGTACTAGTAATTAGGTAATTGTGTATGGCAAGGATGAAGACAAGAAATAAACCGGTCAAAACTTGTGAATTGACAAATAATTTGGAAATTTTACTCAAAACTACCAGATTTGAAGCAAGAGGCGATGAAAAATAGCATGTGAATTAGTTTTTGACACATAATACAAGATGTAAGACAAGCTTAATCATTAACGTTTAATTTAGCACCTAAACTCATTTTTGAACAATGAAAATAACCACTTTTGACGAGTGTTTTTGTAGTATATACAGATGTTTTCCGACGAACTCCGTGACAGTTATCACAAGAACTCCTGAACAAGTTATCATAAGAACTCCATCCTTCGTGTAACACTTCCTCCCCCGTGAACTAGTCATTCTAGTTAATATACATTTAAGTTTGAATTCTGTATATAGTCAAGTGAGATAGTGATTCCATATTGTAACTTTAGTCATTGAAGTGTTCTGCTTAGTGTGAATGTGATGGTGTATAGATATGGATAGAGGCCAGTAAATGAATAACCATAGTTTATACACAGTTTTATATTTATTTGATAATTTACATATTTCATAGCACTACAAATATATGCAAAATATGATCAGAGGACATTTATGAACAAAACACATCATAAGTTCATGTAAAGAAGGTGTTAACTTTTTTTTTACTAAAACAATGCAGACAAATATGAGTGTGAAATAGAGGTAAATATATCGATATATCGGTGTATCGTCGATGTTTGCAATCCGATATCGATATATCGACGATATGCCTTTGACTGAATCAATGACAGCTCTATCTTATATACTGTTTCACATTAAGATATGACGACTTAAAATTAAATTGTTTACAAATAAAATACAATAAACATAAATTAATTTTATGCAATATACAAATATAGGAAATACCTTGTAACTTTTATCAATTGCATATGGCAAATGCCTAAAGTTACTCAGAAAATAGAGTTATTAAATGTTGAAAAGTTTTTCTTAATAAACATTATGTACATGCACAAAAGCTTACCTCGGCAATCAATTTTATATTTTGTAAAATCATCGTTTCTATTTCACTTTTTGTCTTGTTATTTATGTCGTGGAATTTTTCTTTATCTTCTTTTGTGAAAAATACCCTTTCCAATTTACATGGATTTGGAAATGATTCACAGTATCTAAAATAAAATTAAATATCATATTTTCTATGCATGAAATAAACATAACATGTATATTGAAATCCAAGATATTGATTATATTTTTCTTTTCATACCAATAATTCTGCATACTGTCAAATTTCGTGATTGTACAATCAAGAAATTTTTGCAATGATCTTTAATAAGCAATGCAAGTATATATATTCATATCGAATACCTTTTTTTTATTTAATTCACATTTGTCTTTGAAATTTATTAAATCAGGTTCAAGTTCCTGGCCGCATGAAGACGAAAAAGGTCTATCAGCTTTGAATAAGTTGTTCCTTCTAATGAATCTCCTCCAATGGGACTCTGCATTGGTATTATCTCTCTTGCTGTACAATTTAAAAAATGTTACATGATATTTAAATTGAGCATAGATGCAAAAAATTGCAAATAATCATATTCTTTCAATGACATTTACAAATGTTTATTTCAATGTCTATTTTTATAACCCATTTGACAGTCAGGTTAATTTTGTAATGTCTATTATATATATGAGTGTAATAACTTTTTAAGTTAGTTTTTTTGGGTTTAGTTACATTTTGTAATGTTTCTTATTGTATTCTATTTTCATTTAGAAAATAAACTGCACAGTTTAACTGGTTAAGATAGAAATAACTTCAATAAAGTTATGCTTTCAGCATAAAACTAACCGGAAGCTGCCATCGTCTTGATCTTCCATGGAGAACAATGTCTTCAGCTGAAATTTTTTTAAATATTATGAATGACTACAATAGTGTATTATTTAATATGAAAAATTTCTTTTAGTATGAGCAGTATTTCTTAATAACAAGTACATAGATATTAATTTGTTTCACTGTAAGATGCGATTGTATTAAAAAGATCTAAGTTTTTCATATTATATCTGGTGTTCGTCATTTCAAAACATTTCAATGGTGCATTTTTAATTATGATGACTTTTATTTTCGACATAAAATTTAAATAATAAGTATAATGTAGTATACATAAATATAGAGTAAAAACTTATAAAATTCCGTGAAATAACTTAAGGCAACGTTGAGATTGTAGTCAATGATTTCACGATAAATATGTTACATGATGAATCCATAAAATATAAATCTAATATAATGCAGTTGTCTGTTAAAAATGATATGATAAATGAATGAAATTAAGGTTAGAAAGTGCGTTATTACATGTGATTTCTGTGTGTACACTGGTAAATTAAGAAAGAAATAAAGATATTACTATTAATTTGTATTACGTTATGATATGATATTGTTAAATATGAATAAGAGTTTCTATTCATTTGACAATCCAATTTGGTATCACTTTAAACTTACTTCATTTAAATGTCTGAAAATTTATACATTTAAACCATTTTTAGCTCACCTGTCACAAAGTGACAGGGTGAGCTTTTGTGATGGCTTTTCGTCCGTCGTCCGTCTGTTGTCCGTCCGTAAACTTTTGATTTAAATGACATCTCCTCATAAACCACTGAGCCAATTTCATCCAAACTTCACAGGAATGTTCCTTTGGTGGTCACCTTTAAAAATTGTTCAAAGAATTTAATTCCATGCAGAACTCTGGTTGCCATGGCAACCGAAAGAAAAATCTTTAAATATCTTCTTTTAAACAACCCTAAGAGCTAGAGCTTAGATATTTGGCATGAAACATCTTCTAGTGAGTGTCTACCAAGTTTGTTCAAATAAAAGCCCTGGGGTCAAAATTGGCCCCGCCCTAGGGGGTCATTGATTTTCCCTATATGCATATAGTAAAAACTTAAAAAATCTTCTTTTAAAGAACCCAAAGAGCTAGAGCTAAGATATTTGGCATGAAACATCTTCTAGTGAGTGTCTACCAAGTTTGTTCAAATAAAAGCCCTTGGGTCAAAATTGGCCCCGCCCCAGGGGGTCATTGATTTTCCCTATATGCATATAGTAAAAACTTAAAAAATCTTCTTTTAAAGAACCGTAAGAGCTAATGCTTAGATATCAAGCATGAAACATCTTCTAGTGAATGTCTACCAAATTTGTTCAAATAAAAGCCCTGGGGTCAAAATTGGCCCCGCCCCAGGGGGTCATTGATTTTCTCTATATGCATATAGTAAAAACTTAAAAAATCTTCTTTTAAAGAACTCAAAGAGCTAGAGCTAAGATATTAAGCATGAAACATCTTCTAGTGAGTGTCTACCAAGTTTGTTCAAATTAAAGCCCTGGGGTCAAAATTGGCCCCACCCCGGGGGTCATTGATTTTCCCTATATGCATATAGTAAAAACTTAAAAAATCTTCTTTTAAAGAACCATAAGAGCTAGAGCTTAGATATTTGGCATGAAACATCTTCTAGTGAGTGTCTACCAAGTTTGTTCAAATAAAAGCCCTGGGGTCAAAATTGACCCCGCCCAGGGGGACATAGATTTTCCCTTTATGCATATAGTAAAAACTTAAAAAATCTTCTTTTAAAGAACCCAAAGAGCTAGAGCTAAGATATTTAGCATGAAACATGTTCTAATGGGTGTCTACCAAGTATGTTCAAATAAAAGCCCTGGGGTCAAAACTGGCCCCGCCCGGGGGGGGTCATTGATTTTCCTTATATGTGTATAGCAAAAACTTAAAAATCTTCTTTGAAAAAACCTAAATAGCTAGAGTTTAGATATTAAGCATGAAACATCTTTAAGTAAATATCTACAAAGTTTGTTCAAATAAAAGCCCGGGGGTCAAAACTGGCCCTGCCCCAGGGGTGTCATTGTTTTTAACTATATGTGTATAGTAAAAACTTTAAAAATCTTCTTTTAAAAAACCCAATGAGCTAGAACTTAGATGTTTAGCATGAAACATCTTCTTATGGGAGTCTACCAAGTCTGTTCAAATAAACAAATAAAAGCCCTTGGGTAAAAATTGGCCCGGGAGTGGGGGGGCCTATATACAGGTGAGCGACCTCAGGGCCATCATGGCCCTCTTGTATAATATGTAAAAGAGGATGAATATATATTGATTTGCTAAAATTATTAAATTTTATATATTATATTTCGACTGCTAGTATATTAATAAAATTGTAACAATAATTCCGAAATGATGTAAAGTAGAAAATCCATTTCATAAAGAATCCTTTGTAATGTAATTTTTATCTATATAATAATAATAATAATAATGAAATGAAAATTAATGATGGATTTTGCAATCATTGTTAATTTATAAGAACTCACAGGTTACATTTGTTAAACCATACACCACTTGTTAAAATGTGAAATAACTTGACGAACTCAATGTGCTGCATGTGTATAACTGAAATAGAAATAAAAATATATTAGGCAATAGTTATATAGCAATTTCTGGGGAATGAACATGTTAACATTGAACGTACATTTTCTATATAAGGCAGATACACGAACCCATCTCTTTTGGGTTCCTGCTCCTGGTGGCATCCATCGCTTCGTTCTCCTGTTATATGCTTCTAATATGAAATCACAACCCTCGCCTTTGCTTACATGGCCTGTGTGAGACATGCAAGACATATCTTGTATCAGTCGTTTAACTTCAATTGGAGATTGTTGTTCTACAATTTGTCGACGCAAATCAATTTCCATATATGACGTCATATTTAAGCCATAAAAAAGGACGGACAGTTGGTGCATTGAACAGTCAATAATTTCCTGATTATTTCGTCTCACTCCTTTTCGGAAAAGGTGAAGAGCAAATAAGAAGTCAAATACAACTCGAAACAAGAATATAAATATGTTCGATTGCTTGTTTTCTGATATATCATTGAAAAAATCACCAACAGAAGGCACCTTATCATTTGCTTTGCACTTTTTAGCAAAATCAAATACAAGCTCTTTACTTAATCCGCCAAGACAAATCTGAAGAATACTCCAAGATTTATGGTGGTTTGTTGCTGCTTCACAATGGGAAAGTGCCTTTAAGGATTTGTAACCCATTAATTTTGCAAGGTCTTTTAAAACCACTGGCCACAACAGTTTAAATAGGGCTTTCACATAATTAATCTCATAATGTCCAAGACCTGGAATTAATACCACATTTTTAAATTTTCTACATTTTTCTACTTCTACAGAGACGCCATGATGTTCTGTTTTAAAATGATTTTCAAATACTGACAATTTAGTAAAAGATCTGTGGCACTCTGGACAATCCAGGTAATTTTGTATAATTCGCGAGCCTAATAAGTAGGGAAGGCCATCACAACCGATAGCAATCCACTCACGTCCACACATTTCATAAATGTTATCGAAAATCTTTGATATGGCAGCATATGAGCAAGGATCCCAAATACCGGATCCAACAAAGTTGTTTTCGGCTTACCTTTAACCCGGGAATCAATACTATCATATGGATCCTTTAATTTGGGAGATGTTTTAGTCATTTCTCCCGTATCTGTGAAGACAATATCTATTTCTTCTTCATCTACACAAAGCTGTGGGCTAACAATTTGAGATGCTTCCAACGTATCAATGAAATCACTTATTAATCTGTTTTCAATAGTTAAGCTGCAAAAAAACTTCGTCAAGTACATTACCTATATATTCTTTTCTATATTTTTTAAATAATTTACTTAAATCAGGCTTTTCATATGAAAAGGACATACTAGTAGGCAAAGTCAGCCAAAGATATGGAGATAAATCAGGGTTTTTTTGCAGTTCATATGAAACTGGTGGTTGAAGGAATAAAAGTGTAGTGATGACACTCACCAAAGATTTACAGTCATACACAACATTCCATCGCCTAGACAATATTTGATTGTTATCAAAAGATAGAACACCATCACCTTCACTAGGGAATGTTGTTTTTAGCTCACCTGTCACAAAGTGACAGGGTGAGCTTTTGTGATCGCTTTTCGTCCGGCGTCCGTCGTCCGTCCGTAAACTTTTACTTTAAATGACATCTCCTCATAAACCACTAAGCCAATTTCATCCAAACTTCACAGGAATGTTCCTTTGGCGGTCACCTTTAAAAATTGTTCAAAGAATTTAATTCCATGCAGAACTCTGGTTGCCATGGCAACCGAAAGAAAAAACTTTAAATATCTTCTTTTAAAAAAACATAAGAGCTAGAGCTTAGATATTTGGCATGCAACATCTTCTAGTGAGTGTCTACCAAGTTTGTTCAAATAAAAGCCCTGGGGTCAAAATTGGCCCCGCCCTAGGGGGTCATTGATTTTCCCTATATGCATATAGTAAAAACTTAAAAAATCTTCTTTTAAAGAACCAAAAGAGTTAGAGCTAAGATATTTAGTATGAAACATGTTCTAATAAGTGACTACCAAGTTTGTTCAAATAAAAGCCCTGGGGTCAAAATTGGCCCCGCCCCGGGGGCTCATTGATTTTCCCTATATGCATATAGTAAAAAACTTAAAAAATCTTCTTTTAAAGAACTCAAAGAGCTATGGCTAAGATATTTAGCATCAAACATGTTCTAATAGGTGTCTACCAAGTTTGTTCAAATAAAAGCCTAGGGGTCAAAATTGGCACCGCCCCGGGGGTCATTGATTTTCCTTATATGTGTATAGCAAAAACTTAAAATTCTTCTTTGAGAAAACCCAAATAGCTAGAGTTAAGATATTAAGCATGAAACATCTTTTAGTGAGTGTCTACAAAGTTTGTACAAATAAAAGACCTGGGGTCAAAATTGGCCCCGCCCCGGGGGTCATTGATTTTCTTTATATGTGTTTAGCAAAAACTTAAAAAATCTTCTTTGAGAAAACCCAAATAGCTAGAGTTAAGATATTAAGCATGAAACATCTTCTAGTGAGTGTCTACAAAGTTTGTTCAAATAAAAGCCCTGGGGTCAAAATTGGCCTGCCCCGGGGGTCATTGATTTTCTTTATATGTGTATAGCAAAAACTTAAAATCTTCTTTGAAAAAACCCAAATAGCTAGAGTTTAGGTATTAAGCATGAAACATCTTCTAGTAAGTGTCTACAAAGTTTGTTCAAATAAAAGTCCTGGGGTCAAAACTGGCCCGGCCCCAGGGGTGTCATTGTTTTTAACTATATGTGTATAGTAAAAACTTTAAAAAATTCTTCTTTTAAAAAGCCCAATGAGCTAGAGCTTAGATGTTTAGCATGAAACATCTTCTTATGGGTGTCTACGAAGTTTGTGCGCAAATAAAAGCCCTTGGGTTAAATTGGCCCTGCAACGTTGGGGGGGGGGGGGGGTTGGGGTGGGGGTTGGGGGGGCCTATATACAGGTGAGCGACCTCAGGGCCATCATGGCCCTCTTGTTTCACTTACACAGTCAATGTCTTTCATTAGTGTAGAATAATGTACACTTGGTGATATTTTATTAATCAGATTCACAATATTAGAGCTTCCCGTTAGATAGTGACAAATCAAGGATAAGCAATAATGAGTAGTACCTATGTACTGCGGATTTATTAAGCCACATATATGCTCAAGAGCAGTTCTCATTTTTAAATCTGTTTTCTTAGTATTTCTCATTGAAATTTCTTTTAAGAATGATACTAATATTGTACTGAAGGTTTCTTCAATATTTTCATTATATTGATCATACAAGTTATGAATATGTCTATTTTTAGAAACAATAACTTCATTTCTAGCTATATACCTTCCAAGGCTTTTAGAAATCTTAATAACTTCATCTTTTGATAACTCATCATTATCTAGAGCCAAACATATGTCATTACTTAGTTTCTCATCAATTTTCCGTTTCTTAGGCTCTGGCTGAGGGAGACTCTCAAAATACTTGCTACAACTTGTGCAAAGATAGGTCGCTCTGTCACTCAAGTGACCTTCCTTAACGATAGCCTGTACGAGACTTTTTGTAAATTTTTTACTTGTTTTTATATTATATACAATCGGGTCACAACTCTGACCGACTTTTTCCTGTATTTCATCATGCATTGTGCACGAACAACGCTTGTGTACCTTTGGTCCCATTTTTTTCTGAAACCGCGCAAAATAATAAGTTCAAGTGTTGAAGTACAATACATTTATATAACAATATTTTATTATAGCTGTTGTACATTTTCATTAACTAGCAGTACACATAAATTATATACATTATTTCACTATATATGATTTATTATATTTACGCTAAATATTTAATTAATTAATGATATATATTTCATTTTTCCACCAAATATGGTTCGGCTATATTAAAAATTAGATTTCATGAATTAAGTGTGGAATTATTATAATATAATTTACCAATATATTTCAGTAGTTTACCGAAAATCATATAATAAAACAACTCATAAAAAAGTTCAACGATACAAGGTTATGGCTTATATCGTACACCTTACTTTTATGCCACCTTATTGAAGTATTCGCAGCATCTGATTGGATACTATATTAAGTCACGTGATTGACAAATGAAAATGGCGGACATGGACGTAACATTGTAAAAGAAACAGAATATTATGTAAATATCAAGTTTATTTCAGTATATTTACCTGTAAATATGTATCACTTTCTTGAAATGTAAATGTTGCTATTAGAAAATGGCACTAGCTCTTGCAACGCAGTACTTTAGACATGATATACGCACTTTTTTGTACAGTTCTTTCCACAACAACCGACACATGTAATGCGTGGATTGCGATTATCTCCCTTTCTGTAGTATTTGGACCAATAGTTTTTTCATACATAAATTTGTGTATCCGTGTATACATAAATTTATATATGATACAGAGATTTGTGTGTTATACATAGATGTAAGGAAATAATAGACCTGCTTAGTGCATGTCTGTACCTGATATAATTTGTTAACCGGACTGATACAGTGTATAAATCAGCATGTTATTTACACACAACTAATTTATTCATTTAGTTGAAATGGTATTATAAAATAACTTTATTGAACTGTTTGCATTTAACCCTTTTACTGCTAATGCCGTCCCTGTTATTTTCGACATATTTGCCATATGGACGGCTTTAGCCGTTTCTATAATAATAATAGTAATAATAATAAATTAATAATAAGAATGATAAAAATAATAGTAAATATAAAGAAAATTATACCATCGACAATAATTATTATTATACTAACAGATTTGGAAACATATATAATTGTTATACCCCCGCACAACAAAGTTGTAAGGGGGGTATACTGGAATGAGCTTGGCTGTCCGTCCGTCCGTCCGGCCATCCATCTGTCGGTTTTTTCTTGTCCGCCCAATAACTTAAGATTCCTTTGACCCTTAGTCTTCATATTTGGCATGGAGGTTAGTCATGATTAGTAGATGACCCCTATTGATTTTGAGGTCACTAGGTCAAAGTCACAGGGGCCTTGACTTCAAAAAGCTTGTCCGCCCAATAACTTAAGATTCCTTTGACCTACAGTCGTCATATTTGGCATGGAGGTTAGTCATGATTAGTAGATGACCCCTATTGATTTTGAGGTCACCAGGTCAAAGGTCAAGGTCACAGGGGCCTTGACTTCAAAAAGCTTGTCCGCCCAATAACTTAAGATTCCTTTGACCTACAGTCGTCATATTTGGCATGGAGGTTAGTCATGATTAGTAGATGATCCCTATTGATTTTGAGGTCACTAGGTCAAAGGTCAAGGTCACAGGGGCCTTGACTTCAAAAAGCTTGTCCGCCCAATAACTTAAGATTCCTTTGACCCACAGTCTTCATATTTGGCATGGAGGTAAGTCATGATTAGTACATGACCCCTATTGATTTTGAGGTCACCAGGTCAAAGGTCAAGGTCACAGGGGCCTTGACTTCAAAAAGCTTGTCCGCCCAATAACTTAAGATTCCTTTGACCCACAGTCTTCATATTTGGCATGGAGGCTAGTCATGATAAGTAGATGACCCCTATTGACTTTGAGGTCACCAGGTCAAAGGTCAAGGTCACAGGGGCCTTGACTTCAAAAAGCTTGTCCGCTCAATAACTTAAGATTCCTTTGACCCACAGTCTTCATATTTGGCATGGAGGTTAGTCATGATTAGTAGATGATCCCTATTGACTTTGAGGTCACCAGGTCAAAGGTCAAGGTGACAGGGGCCTTGACTTCAAAAAGCTTGTCCGCCCAATAACTTAAGATTCCTTTGACCCACAGTCTTCATATTTGGCATGGAGGTTAGTCATGATTAGTAGATGACCCCTATCGATTTTGAGGTCAAAGGTCAAGGTCACAGGGACTTTAACTTTAAAAAGTTTGTCTGCCCAATAACTTTAGATTACTTTGACCCACAGTCTTCATATTTGGCATGGATGTTGATCATGATTAGTAGATGGCCCCTATTGATTTTGAGGTCACTGGGTCAAAGGTCAAGGTCACAGGGACCTTGACAAAAAAAAAAAGCTTTTCTTCTCAGTTGCTAAAGAATGTCCTGTACGCAATGTATTGATTTTGACATTTTCACATTTGAAGCATGTAGAATACATAACTTAGCAATGCACTGGCTTAGTAACCTCAGATTTGGCAGGGAGGTTGTCCTTGAGCTCTAAATGGCCACTGTTGATTCTGACAAAGTGGTATGCGGGGGTATTCACGCCATGATAGTGGCAGTTCTAGTTATAATAGTAATAACAAATAATAATAATTATATTAATTAATAATATAATAATAATATAATAATTTCTTAGAAAACCCTCTGGCAAATAGGTTATCAATAAAACAATAACCCTCTGGCAGCGAAAGGGTTAATGAACAATATACAAAAATGGACAACTAAGTATAAAGACTTCTGTTAATAATGATCAGATATGGCGGATGAGGTTTACACTATTACGCTATATCCACTTAATCTACTAAAAATGCAATAAATAAATAAATAAATAAAATAAACTATGCTGATTTAAAATGTTAAGAAAAGTTTTTTATGGGTTTTTTTTCTAAACATTTTGTATCAGTAATTCATGTTCGTTAAACAAAAAAGTAAACCCTTTAAAGACGTGGCCATATAAAGATATAGACAACGTAATAGTGAAGCCATTAAAAATGTTTATAGTACATTATACCTGTCATATCTTTTAAAACTATAAATGTAGGATAATCGTATTTATCAAGAGGTAAAATGTTGATAATATGTATATACATTGAGAATTGTGGATAGAACTATTTAATTATGGGTGTAAAACTATTACTCCAATGTTACCTACTATTTTGTTATTAGCTCGACTATTCGAAGAATATGAGAGCTATTCTAGTCGCCCCGGCGTCGGCGTCAGCGTCCGCGTCGGCGTCTGCGTTGGTTAAAGTTTTTTGTAAAGTCAAATATCTCAATTACTGCTTGAGATATTCAATTGAAACTTACAATACTTATTTATAGTAACAAGGTACATCAGATTGACAAGTTGGATAACTCTGCCTACAATATTGACAGAATTATGCCCCTTTTTAACTTAGAAATTTTGGTTAAAGTTTTTTGTAAAGTCAAATATCTCAATTATTGCTTGAGATATTCAATTGAAACTTACAATACTTATTTATAGTAACAAGGTACATCAGATTGACAAGTTGGATAACTCTGCCTACAATATTGACAGAATTATACCCCTTTGGAACTTAGAAATTTTGGTTAAAGTTTTTTTTTGTAAAGTCAAATATCTTAATTATTGCTAAATGAGATATTCAATTGAAATTTAAAATACTCTTTTATAGTAACAATGTATATCAGTTTGCAAAATTGCATAACTCTGCCTGCAATATTTGCAGAATTATTTGCCCCTTTGAAACTTAGAAATTTTGGTTAAAGGTTAAAGGTCTTCAAAGATATTTACTTGAAACTTTACACATGCACTTAGGGTCATAATTGGAGGGTCATACATGTCATAATTGTATGTCACTGACCAAGCTCCATAACTCTATCTTGCATTAAGGCTGATTCATATCCCCTTTTCTACTTAGTCTCTTGGTTAATGTTAACATGATAGTTTTACATATCTCAATAACTATTAAAGATATTTATTTAAAACTTCACATATGCATTTAGGGTCATAATTGTAGGTCACTGACAATGATCCATAATTCTATCTTGCATTTAGGCTGATTTTTCTCCCCTTTTTCAACTTAAAAATTCATGGTAAAGTTTTGCTTGTAAGCTGTTATCTCAATAACTACTGAAGGGTTTGTACCTTTTTTGGGACAATTTTATGCATTCATAATAATAAAGCAGTGATTAACTTGATAAAACATGTTAATAACAAGCCTTTGTACCTTTTCTGTCAAATTTATGTATTCATAGGTAATTAGTATTATTTTACTCAATTAAACACCCTTGTGACATTACCTTCCGAATAGTCAAGCCAATACTGTATAATAAGACTCTCTCTAAGGCCTATAACATGAATTTATGAAAAAAAATAGCTCTTTTGTGAACTTAAAAAATTTAACATTATAAAGGCTCTTTTACTATCAAGCACTTAGAATAGTCGAGCGTGCTGTCCTACCGACAGCTCTTGTTATTTTTTAATGTTTAGATGTTATTATAAAATGGAGTACGATTTTAAGCAAATTAACAAACTGTTTGTAAACCTTCAATAATAAGAAAAAAATAAAATTCAAATATAATAATGAGAGTTCCCAACCATTTAAAAAAATGTTTGATTTGACCCTGAACGACTTGACCTTATAAAAACAAAACAATTCCTTCTTTACTACCATACGACATGTGGTTGGAAATAAACTAACATATTCAACATCAATCAGTGTAAAATCAATATCAGTTAATATTGTAATACCTTGTAGTATAAATCCAGTGAAATCATTTTTTATAAGAAATAATGTTTTTTTTTTTATTTCAAAGTTTAAAACTCGATGCTTTATTTATGATTAAACTCTGACGTACTAAAGATATAAATTATATTTCATAACTTAACTATTTAGTATTTGGTAAAATAAAGCTATAATTAAACATTCAAGACTGTCTTTCTATAAAGATATTTTTTTTTAATAGAATATAAATACATGTACATACTACAATTAATAAAACATGTCGATCCGTATCATGTCTCTTATAAAATCAGATGCTTCTTCTTCTTTGAAATTCTATTTTTACAAATCTATTACAAACAATTCATTTTGTCGGACATTAATTTTTTTAAGTGGCTTAACTAAGATATTCTCTTACATTCCAGGAGCTGTACATCGATCAGGGTCATATCAGAAATGATTGATACCATATACCAGCAAAAGGAGGTCAAACAATCTCTACAAAAATTAAAAACCTTAGAGGTATCAAAGGAAACACTCAAAGAAAGAAATGACAAACAAATGCAAGAGCTTCAAAAATCAAGAAAAGAAGCTATTCAGGAAATCAGACAACATCGCAAAGTCCTTGAACATGTCCTTGCTGACATGGAAAAGGAATCAATACAAGAAGTTGACGATGAGTTCACTAAAAAAGAGACGGCACTCATAAAACAAAAAAAGGACATAGAAAGAGAGGAAGATTATATACAGAAAGCAATTTGTGATTTACAACATGCTGAAGGAAACAAGGCTCAAGAGTTTGTATGTTCAAAGATTGCTTATAAACAGATTAATGGTAGTAAAGACAGCCCTGATTTGTTAAATGACGAACAAGCTGATGTACAGTTATCATATTCTATAAACAACGACATCACTAGCTTTCTGAAACAGAAGAAAACCTTTGGAAGTATTGCAAAGTACCATTATCAACAATACGCTCAGAGGAGAAGTCTTTATACTGTCAAAGCTGAAAGGAAAATTAATGTCAAAGTACAAGGGGATGAACAAACGTGTTTAATATATGGTTCTTGTTTAACAGAAGACAACTTTCTATTACTAACCGACTATTACAACATGAAGATAAAATGTGTTGACACAACAAAAGCTGTTGTAGTAGACCAGTGCTGTCTACCAAGTTGTCCATGGGATGTTTGTTGTACAAGTAAAAATGAAGCTGCAGTCAGTTTAGATAACAAAACCATTCAGTTTGTTTCTCTGTTTAACCCGATGAAAATAGTAAGGCAGCTTAAGATGAACCATGATTGCTTTGGTATTGCTTTCAAAGATGACAAGCTGTTCATAACCGACAACGGGAAGTCGTTGTTTATCCACAATACATCAGGTGACCTCTTACAGACGGTATCAAAGGACAATTCTGGAAATGAATTATTTGATCAGAGTAGACTGCTTACTTTTAGTGACCGTGGTGATAGAGTATATGTTGCAAGTTTCAGTAATAGTCTAGTTTCACTAAATATGCAAGGGAAACATATAGATACATATAAAGATAAAGAGCTGTCTTGTATTGGTGGTGTTTGCAGTGACCACAGGGGCAACATTTTTCTGTGTGATTATAGCTCAGGAAATATTAAACAGATTTCACAAGAAAACATGTCAGAAATCGGCACGGTTGTAGGATCATCACATGGTTTGTCCAACCCGTTGTCAATCTGCTTCAATCATCAACAGTCCACGTTGATAGTCACGTTGCATAATTGTGACGAAATAAAACTTTTTGATTTAAAATAAACACTAAGTAAAGCAAGTCTTCATACGTCCAATACTATGTAAATACTGTGTAATAGAATGTAATTACTAAATATTGTGTAAATACTGTGTAAATACGAGTACTATTGTAAGACACTGACAAGCATTAAACTGTGTTTATTTACTACATTACGTAAAAAGCAGAAGTTTTTAAATAATGATTATCAGAAATGAATGCGCATGTAATAAGTTACTTGTAAATTTCTTTCTATGTATGTTAGAATTATTTTGATATGTTTTGGTCTATTTTCATGTATTTTGACATAATTTGATATCATGTACAGTCAATCGTGCCTTGTAATTTAAGTAAAAGTAAATAAGAACAGTGAACAGTGCAGTACAGTGAGTCGTGTCGTGCTATAAAACTACAGTGAGTCGTACCATGTTTTAATAGAGATAAATGTATGTGAGATGTACCAAAGAAGCGAAATAAATGGTGTTGATATTACTTTGCCAGTAGTACTTGTATTATCGTACCTCTTTTTGTAGTAATGATACTACGTTGTTCAAACTGTTTACGTTTTATCGTACTTCGTTGATACTAAGTTGCCCATACATTATCCGATATAGTGCTAATTTTGCGGTTTAGTTCCTATTTTGGTCATACATACTGCTTATAATGGAGCTGATTATGATTGTGATGGTGATGATGGTGGTGGTGATGATGATGATGATGATGATGATGGTGGTGACGATGATGATGATTGTGATTGTGGTGATGATTATGATGATGAATATAATTGTGATGGTGGTGGTGATGATGATGGTGACGGTGATGATGATGATTGTGATGGTGGTGATGATGGTGATGATGAATATGATTGTGATGGTGGTGGTGATGATGATGATGATGATGGTGGTGACGATGATGATGATGGTGATTATGTATGATAGTAGTCGTGACGTATGAACAAGTGCAAAATTTTAACCCTACCAGGAAAAATAAAAATGCGTCATCCGCTTCAGTAAAATATATATCTGAAAGGGGGATAGTATGTAATGTAGACTTTTTCAGTCAATAAATTAGCCCAACGTAGCTCAACAAAGTTTCCGATCCTAATTTCTACATACTTTAACTCGTTTCAAGAGTTATTGGTTCGATAAAAATGAATATCACCTTTGATGTTAACGTATGGACCTCTTGCTTGTATTATCTAAACAGCACTTGAACATAAAATCATCGAAAGGATAAGAAATTAATTTGAATATTGAATAAATAGAAGTATGATAACACGAAACTCTCGACGGCAAACACTACACCAAGTGATGACGTTTCGATACTTGTATAATAGCCTCTTATCTTAAAGAAGGCCAATTTGTGAAACTTGATGGCTTTTTTCTTCTGCGTTGTAACAGGATGCGATATTTGTAGTCATAAACATAATAGATTTGTTGAAAGTCGAACTCACAATCTGACAAATCTTTGATGTGCAATTATGATAGCTTTGATTGGAGAGGTCATCAGACCCATCCACAGAGTGGAGAATGATTCCTGGCGGCATTCATTTTTTGCGTATCAAATTGAAGTTAATGAAGTTAATGAATCTCATTTAATGCCTAAAATTATTTGAACCAATCTTAAAAAAATTAATAAGTGACCAATCTGAAATTCTTACTTTCCTGTCATTTGAACAATTAATCAAATCTTCCAAAGCTGTAAAAAGACCGCTCGCATGGTTCTTAATAAAGATTCAAATTGGTTTAATTACATAAAGTACCGAACGAAAATGAATTGGCTTTGTCGGAAATGTGTTGACTACGTTCAAATGTGTTGAAAATGTGCTGACTAAGATCATTTCAAGCTTATTCAAGTTTATAATTTTGACGTAGTTCATTTTGTGATGATAGAATCCATAATGTCGACGAAGTTCATTTTGTGTTTATTTGATGCTATGCTTTTTTATGTCGGATAATATCTTCATTGAAGTTGTATTTTGTTGTTGCTGTTTTCATCATTGTCTTTCCCTAATTCATTTTTGTATTAGAATTTATTTACAGGATGTATCACAAGGCCGTCGTCGATGGTCCGGCCGGTCCGGCCTTGGCCGGACCAATATTTTGGCCAAAAATGAGTAAAAAAAACAAACAAAAACAAACAAAAACAAAAAAACACGCATCGCTGATTAGCAATTTGACACTTAACTGGCCCCTTATGCAATACGCGGTTACATACAAACATGACGCGAAGAAACAAATGGACACTGTTAATTGACCAGGTATATGTAGGGGTCCTACGAAGTTAAGTGTGAAGTTAATTGACATAGACGTGGCTTCGGACAGTTCACCGTATATACATGTATATATATGTGCATTATGAATATCTTGAACTAGTATGCCTGAATTCTCCGAGAATTCGATAATATTTTATTGATTGTACACGGCAACTGTTCAAAAGTCATATTTTTATCACATATCCGTGCCGTTTTCGCGACTCCGTGAAAATGGTATTGCACGGCCGTGCATATATTTTGACGTCATTTGCGTTATACACACTAAATGTTAGCGTTTTTCTATGGGCGTCAATGAAAAATGGTTGCTCTTCACTTCAAAAGGTACTTATTTTTGGTATGTAATAAATATAATATTGAATTCGTGTAAGTTCATTACTGAATTTATTGAACTCGTTGAATAAAATATTATACTCGCCATGCAGAGGCTCGAATAATATATTTTCATTCAACTCCTAACATAAATTCAGTAATAAACTCATTCAATTACTCTATTACATAATTACAGTGCAGGACGTGTTCCGGCCTAAGTATTTTGAAGCAATCGATCTTGCCATGGCCAGTGTTAAAGAGAGATTTGACAAACCGAGATATCGTGTACTTCAGAACGTGAAGGATTTATTTATTAAGTCCGAACAACTTTTGAAGACCGTTCACTAGAAAACTTGGTTTTTGTTTGTGATTTATTTGGCAACGATATTAACCGAGACATCTTAGAGGTGCAGCTTCAGCTGCTACGATCACATTTTGACAAATCAGAAAATAGTACTGTTACTCTACCTGACGCTTTGAAATTTGTGTCAAAACAATCGGTGCAAGAACAGAGGTCATTGTGTTGTTAAAGAATTTGTTAGTAATGCCTGCTGCTAATGCTACCAGTGAAAGGACATTCTCGGAGCTCAGAAGAATAAATGTGAAAATACACAGGGAGATAATAAGAACGGCGAGTGCATTGTTGTAGAATAATGCACGCTTCGGGCCTTCTTTGTTTATATAGAAAAAATTCCGATAGTGTTAAAATGTTTATTTTTCATTCGCCAAATATCAATTACATGTATTCATCTTTTATGTTCACCTGTCCGTCCGTTATGCAAACCTTAAATTTCACCCTTAAAACTAACGACGTACTTACATCTGTAAAAAAATCGTTGACATTTTACTATAACATGTTCTAGCGACAGGCTGTAAAATGTGCCAAATATATGGGAAAACGCCCCTAAGAACATCCTAGAATAAAAAATTTTCCGGGGGAGCATGCCCCCGTACCCCCCTAGATTCTGGCTAAAATCTACCAAATTGGCCGCACCAATCACAAAATCGTGACGACGGGCCTGATCAGCGGTATATTCCGTCTTTCTGCAAAGATAACCCACCTGCTCAACAAAAAATGCAAGTTCATTTGTGTTTATAATATACTAAGGAACTTTTGAGTATTGTTAATATCAATTTGATTTTATATATAACTATAGTTAGAATAATATCAAATACCGCACACTGCGATTGGTCACTGCGAATTGAATATCTGTCAGTCGTGTATGCTGTCCATTTTTAAGTAGGTGTGAAGGCTTAAACAGGGTGATATATACGAATACGAATACGAAAAGTTTATTTGTATAAAGCATAGTACAATGCTTATAACAAGTATAAATTGTAATATATACAATGTTTGGAGATCAAAACATGGATTTTTCCAGCAAACATAAGATGTTTCATGGAATATTATGTTCAATACTCAATATGATATTTAACATGTTTAATATATATGTTGCACTTGCATGCATAAGTTTCAAATAAACAGACGCCAACCTACAATATCCTGAATAGTCTGCACTTAACTTATTCTATCATTTTCTAAAATATAAAGACATGAAGAACACTAAAGTCCTTTAGACTAAAAGTAATATTCACTGTTGCAAGTCAGTTCTTTTGAAAGATATACATGCAAACGCAAACATCTTAAACAATAAGTTATGGTTCGAATATATTTCATTTTCAAATATTACTAGAAGAGATATTATGAAATACGTTGTCTATTTGCTAAGTAAATAAATTTAGACAAAGCACAATATAGTTTTCATAGAATTAGAAGACATTAGGCTACCGAATTTTATAACAAGTATTAATTGTAATATATACAATGTATGGAGATCAAAACATAGATTTTCCAGTAAACATAGGATGATTCATAGAATATTATGTTTAATATTCAATATTTAACATGTTTAATATATATGTTGCACTTGCATGCATAAGTTTCAAATAAACAGACGCCAACCTACAATATCCTGAATAGTTTGCACTTAACTTATTCTGTCATTTTCTAAAATATAAAGACATGAAGAACACTAAAGTCCTACAGACTAAACGTAATATTCACTGTTGCAAGTCAGTTCCTTTGAAAGATATACATGCAAATGCAAACATCTTAAACAATAAATTATGGTTCGAATATATTTCATTTTCAGATATTACTAGAAGAGATACTATGAAATACGTTGTCTATTTGCTAAGTAAATAAATTTAGATAAAGCACATATAGTTTTCTTAGAATTAGAAGACATTAGGCTGTCGAATTTTATAACAGACGGCCAGTGACAATAATAAGGTTTAAAAAACCTTTTCCTCAATTCTCTATAACGTGGACAGACTAACAAAAAATGATACTCTGTTTCAGGTTGTCTCATTAAACAAGATTTACATATTCTTTCTGATCTTGGTATATTTTCATATCGACCAGATTCTACACATAAGTTATGTGATGACGTTCTAAATTTAGTAAGAGCAATTCTATGATTTTTGTCTGTAATTAAATCAAAATACTTTTCACATTTAAAATCATGTTTAAAAATGCTATAAGTTTGCAGGCGACCAGAATTGTTTATATCAGTATACCACTTCTGTATAAAAGTATCTATAATTCGTTGTCTGATAATGACAAAGGGAATATCTATATCAAACTGGTTAATCCATACATACGCTAAACCATGGGTTGTTAAAATGTTTTTAATACAAAAAGCCCAGTTTTTTGAGTTATATGTATTCCCAGAATCAACATCTTGCTTAAGCATTGAATAAACTTTTTTAACAATCTCTGTATCGTCAAGCTTAATAATTTTCACCCAAAACTTAATCATCTTAATTTGTCTCATCACAGAAAAAGGGTAACGGCCTAATTCACCGTATAGCGCCGAGATGTTAGTTGATTTTCGAACGCATAACAGTC